CCTGCAGGGTGCTCCTTGTAGGACAACAGAAACGGAACTATCAACATGCACATGAGCATTATTAGCGCCCGTTGTGCATCGTCGGCAACTCTTGCACGTTGTCGCGGCACCAACAACCACGACAACAACAGCACTTGAGCAAGAGAAAGACTTTAGCATCATGAAGATGACAGCCCTGAAAACAACACACTAGACATGCAGCAATACATGCCCCATGTCCCAGTTGCCATCGACGGAGAAATTAACACACCGGTGGCCCGAGCTGGCAACCAACTGTTCTCGATACCGCTCGGGCGAGGTCTACTCAGTCTACTCACACCAGATCCCTTAGAGACAATCTAGACCACCTGAGCCAAACACGCTGCAAGGGCCACGGAGCATCGCAACTACCATGGTCCGCATCCACAAATAACACAACCTGACCTGAAGAAGGAAGTTGCAGTACACACTACGATCCCTTCGCACAAGAGAAAGCCGAAAACGTTGCGAAATCGCACCGCACCTGGCAAGCGCAGAAAGACGGGAAGGGGAACCTGTGATACAGATACTCCTGGCCTGCAACATTGCGGTCCTGCGGGTTGATGCTGCCTCCGTTGGGTCGCACCGAGGCTTCGGCTAGTGAGACAGAAATCGAAGGGATGGCCGGTTTCTGAGGGATTGAGACGAGGCTCCACCATGTTGAACACTTCTGCCATATCGACTATGTATGAAGGGACATTCCGGAAGGGAAGCAATCCTCCGCATCAGAAGGAAAGGCTTTCATTCTTTGATGGGGCACACGTCCAAGAAGCTGGCCTGAAGATAGCCACTGGGCAGGTCCGGCAGGAGCATGCGAAGTGCCATGGCCGCACGCAGCCGGAGACCAGCCTTGCCAACGCAGGATAGCAATGGCAGTTCTTCCATCGGCACCTTTGCGTACCTTCCTCACTCTCGTCACCACAACCGGCGCAACCCATGGCCACAATCGCCACTCGCTGTCATCATCGATACCACCGGTCTTGTCTCTCACGTGCCCTATTCAGGCCTCTCTCACAATCCATCAACGAAAGCACGAAAGGCATCACCACAATCAGCATCACCATCAGTCTCAGTATCATTAGCAGCAAAAGCGAAATCAGCATTGTCATCATCATCTTCATCACCATCCCTTGGGGCACCACCATCATTTCCATCAATACTAGAATCATCATCAACAACGCAGCCGCAGAATGCTCTTTTGAATTCAGTTCTCCACGGTGATGTAGCTTGACTGTCAGTGAAGTCGTAGTCCAGGCATTGGCAAGACGAAAATCAAACAGACAAGAAACTGCCTACGCTGCACATGCGGAACAGTTCCTCCGGAACGAGGCATGCAACTGTACCCAGCTCTGTCGTGCTGTGGCTAAATGGCCGATGCGTCGTCACTTCCCGATTTTTGATTGGTCATGCGATCCGTGCTCCCTCTATGGGTGAACACGCGGCATTGGAACCTCCAGCAATCTTGTTTCCTCCCGGAGGCTTGCACTCAGACTTGGCCACGGAGCAACCAAGGATGCCAGGATGCCTGCGAAACACTGGCCGTTTTTGATGGGGCAAAAGGTAGCCCGCAACCACCCATGGCAGGGGGTTGTCAAGGCTTCTTCGGTTGTCAAACAAAGCGCTGGAGGGTGGAGTTACGACACTTCGTGAGTCTCATCGCAGCTTTCCCTGTAACCATGACAGGGTGCGGGGAGTAAGAGGTAACGGAAACCGGTCGAAGACCCAGTAACGGCAACGCTCGGCCGCGGTAACAGCAACCAGGCGACGAGCATAACACGAACAACCACCGAACAGGAACCTTCATCGGAAACGGGGGCCAGAGGCTTCTATGGTCTCAAAGTAGGGAACCGAAAACCGCTCCAACACGGGCAAGCCTGAAGTAGGTAGACCTGGACAATGATATCGAGGCATTGGGGCACGCGCACACATATGCGTGTGCTGACATGCGTGCACACCTGATTCACGGAAACTCAGCAGGTTCAAACAACGAATCTAATGCGTGTTCCCACATGCAGGCAGAAACTGATAGACAGGCAGGCAGGCTGCCAATCGCAACTGCGTTCGCTTGTTCGTAGGTTCAAAACGATGCAAGAAAGATTGAACTGATTTCAGATACGTTGATATGTCCCCTCATGTGCGTGCGTGTTTGTTTGTCACCCAGGTGAAGTCCCTCAAACTCTAAATGCCCAAACCCGACAAATCCGAAACCTCTAAACCCTAAATCCTGTAACAGAGTCTCCAGGATGCCAGAATTCCAAGACTAAGGGCTTGGGTTTCAGGGTTTCAGCACGTGGGTTTTTTGGATTCCGGAGTCTTGAAGATGTTGGGGCTGGAGGTAGACATGCTGGAATCCTAGGTCTCAGTCCCCGCTGGCTCAGGGACCGGAAAGCGGTCCCCGAGTTCAGCAACCAAGAAAAGCTTCAGGATCTGGGAGGAAGGCTTGGAGTCCGCGGTTCCTGTTACCAGGGCTGTTCTTGTTACGGGGTCCAGCATTGGTCCCGTTACAGGTGCCTGTTACGGACAGCCTGTTCCGATTACGGAAAATAATTACGCTGCACTGCACACCTGCCGGGGGAAACCGTTCAATGCAGCCTCACAAAATACAGGATGTTTGAAGTTGGGCAACCTGCGGCCCGATCTGATCCTTTCCCCATCTCACCAAAGCCGCACACTTCCCGCATTTCGTCGCCCTCTCATAGCGCTCTTAGCGGCCTTACCCGTTCTAACTTCTCCTCTCTCTCTCTCTCTGGCTCCCTCTGCTGTTGCATCTCGATCTGACTTGCAGCGTATGTTTCGGCCCGCGAGCGATCATGGAAGTGAGGAATGATTGTCAGACTGCCATGCTTCGCGTCACTGGCATCGTCACTCCTAGGAGAGCCTTGGGGTTGCTGTCGCGAACGCATGGCAAACTGGCAGCGCATGTGTGTGGTGCGAATGGTTTCTGTTTAGGATCAAGGAGCTGCAGATGATATGCGAGCGGGACTGCAAGCTGCAAGCATCTCGCTCTCCCGCTTGGCTCTGGAAACGGCACAGAAGAAGCTCGCCCGACTCATCCGAACTGCTGCTGAACCTCGAACACCCTGAAGTCCAACCTATCAACTGCCAAAACATCCAAATCCCAACGCTGCGGCCAAGCAAAAAAGGATGCTGCCTGGCCTAGGCCGGTCAGCAGCACCAGGATGGAAGGCAGCCAACTAAGCCTTACCAAGCCATCAATGGTTCGAGCTCACTGCGCTCCGCTTCTCGCAGCGAGGAGCGGGGCAGTCAGCACCGAGGCTCTGACAGCACGCGAAAGGACAAAACAAGTGGTGGAGACCCGGAGACCCTTGAGCTGCCAGGCCACTTGTTGTTGTTCAGATACCCAAGCGACATGGTCAAAGCCGTGCATGCTGCGCAGAGAAGCCTTCTGCGGCTGGAAGAAACAGGTCCGGGAGGGCCTTTGGCTTGGAGATTTTTGGGTCGCGTGGATCACAGTTGGAGTTCGTCAGTGGCATGCTCCTGTTTGTTACGGCGGCAACGACCGCGGGGTGAATACTGTAAGGATGAGGATGCGGATGATGATGATGGTGGTGATGATGATAATGGGTATGATAGTAATGGAAGCCCCAAGGCTCACAGCGAAGCGCCCGGGATCTCTTTTCTTGGGGGCTTGTGTTCTGGTGTCTCTTCTTCTGGGTTCTTCGGCGAAGTTAGATGAGTGATCATGGCAGCTCTGGACCTCCGGAGCCCTCTTCTGATGAGCTGGAAAGCATGGAACGCACCCCGCGTGATCAGCAGGTCCAAGGACCGCCCACGGCTGCAGACTTGGCCCCCAGGGGGCCGCCAAAGCCTACTCCTGTACACTACGATGCTGCTCACCATGCATTGCCTCCTGCAGTGGCTGATCCAGCCCCAGCTTCCGACAGTGACGACGCCAGAGAGGACGACAGCCGCCAAGCCAGGGCCTGCCCACGGCATGTCGCGACGACGACCCCGTGAATCGTCTTCCTCCAGCTCCAGCTCTGAGGCCCATGACGACGCAGATGCTGACGACGACGAAGTGGAACCAGATGCAACAGCAGATGCCAACGACAGCCCGGCTGACGGTGGATACTGGTCTGAAACCTCACTGGTCTTGGAAGGCCAGGACTTGGCCGATGCCTGCGACACCATCGTCACCCTGTACCGCCGCCAGCTCACGGAGCTCCACGAGGACATTAGCAGCAGGAATGTGGGAGCACGTGTCGGCGCTCGTTTGCGACTGCTTCAATGGCCACAGGTCCAGGGATTGGCTACCCAGCGCCTGGAAGGGCGCTATCTTCGGGAGTGGACCCAGACAGAGCATAAGCTCACACATGTATATCATACAGGGGACACCGAAAATGACTGATGCACTGCCAGCGGCACGGCCCCCGGCTTTGCCTCCTCCTGGCAGACCCAGGAACCACTGCACTGTGCGATTTCAGCCTCTTAGACATCTCCACCCCTTTGGCCCCTTCCTTAGGCACCTTAAGCTCCCTAAAAGACCTTACCCCACAAGGAGTGTGCTCTCGGCTGCCGCGGTCAAAGCTGCTCCTCTGCCATCTCAGCTGCTTGCAGCCACTGACGCCGCAGGCAGAGACAAGCTGGCCCAGGGATCGATTGCGCCCATTCCCAGACATGTCAAACGAGCATTCAAGCGAGCATGCGGCAGAGCTGCCAGATCCACTATAGGGGGTACTTGGTATAGGGAACAATGGCATAGCATACGTACCCTTGGCCAGCTTGCTAGACCTGCCTCCCCTGATAATACTAGGCCCGCCTCAAGGACCCGCCAGGCACCAAGCAATCGCCCGAATAAGGACAGCTTAAGACTGCTATCTTGGAATGCCGGAGGACTATCGTCTCATGTCTATCAAGAACTCCTTGCTTGGATCGATCAACAAAACTGCTATCAGATCATCATCATCCAAGAAACACATTGGACTTGTGAATCTGATTTCACATCAGGGCCCTGGCTCTGTATGCACTCCTCAGGCTACACATGTTCGCCCCCGGACAAGTCCAGTGGTGTGCTGGTGATGCTCTCCAAGAAGCATTTCGAGGATGCAGCAGTACACGAGCCGGTTCCAGGCAGGGTTCTTCAGGTTCGAGCGACGGTCAAAACGAGCAAGCTTCCACTTACGGTGGTAGGGGTCTATCAACATGTCTGGCGGACTCACTTGTCCACAGTGCAGAACCTTGAACTGCGCAGAGGAGTCTGCCATGCTGTCTCCACTATTGGGCAGCAAACCCCTCAGCGCCATCACCTCATCATTGCAGGCGACATTAATGCTAAGCTCACCCCGCAACACCCTCATGTAGGTGGTGCAGGTGCAGCCACCCGCTCTCCGGCGGCCAACCACTCGCCGGAGCTGCAGCAGCTGCTTGCCGAAGGCGACTTATGCGCCCTGAACACTTGGCACACACCTCACCGTGACACGTATGTGACACCGACCCGCAATAGTCAAATAGACTTTGTAGTGGTTCGCTGTGCCGAAGCCAAGGGGAAGGCTAAGCATTGTGCACCCCTCGTGCAGTTCCCTGTCGCGGGCTGGCGGCAGGCTGGCCACCGCCCGCTGCATGCTGAGCTGTGGCTGCGACCGTTTCGCAGGCAGGAAACAGCCCAATTGCCTGCCCAGCACCGCTGCCAAGTAGATGTTCTGCAGCAGGCAGTGGCAGACCAGACTGAAACTGCACAAGCCATGCAGACTCATGTTGAGGCTCGCGTGCAGCAGCTGCTGCAGCAGTCCTCTCCGAATGCCTCATGCCTTCAGGCCAGTCTGAATTTGATCTTGTGGGATGCAGCTGAGAGATCCTTCCCGGTCAAGTCACGACCGGATAATCGTATAAGCGCTAATCCACAATACAAAGCCTCTGCCCGGCAGACGTGGGCCCTGTATGCCAGACTCAAATCAGCCTCAGTGGCCACCTTCTCTCGCATTTGGCGAAAATGGCACTTGCTAGCGCAGTTTCGAAAAGCCTCCCGGGCTCTTCGGCAACAAAGCCTGAACAGCAAATTCAGGAAGCTGAAGAGGCTGCTGCCCGCCATGATCAGAGAACCCTCTACCAAATAATCAAACGTATGGCACCAAAGTCCTATAAGACCGCCTCTCGCCTGCTAGGCCCCGATGGTCGGTTGATGACGCCTTCTGGCGAACTGCAGGTAATTCTCCAGCATGGCAAGCAAACTTTTGCAGCCTTGATGGATGTTGAACATCTGCTCGTGCCACACGAGCCACTTCACATCTCTGAGCAAAGCCTGCAAGATGAACTTCGTGCCCTAAAACTTCGTAAAGCAGTGCCTGCCCATATCGCACCGGCAGCCGTTTGGAAGCAGTGTTATGCCTGTCTTGGCAGCTGCCTTGCTCGGGCTCTTAACGATCACTTTGCCCTGCCAGCTCAGCAGCCGCTTCAGCATGATTGGAAGGACTGCTACAGCAAGTGGCTCCCGAAACCAAACAAACCACCGGTTTCTGTTGAAGCAGTCCGATCGGACTCCAATGCCCGACGACCAAAGCATTTGCAGGTGCCCTTCGTGAGCGACTACTACAAGTTCTTCACCCAGCCTTGGCCTCGCTTCCTCAATTTGCATACATCAAACAGAGGGGCACACAGGAGGCCCTCCTTAGGGTTCATATGCACTTCCATCATGTTGTCTGCATGCTGAAAGACAACATTGTGGATCGATTTCAGCAAAAGGCAGGCAAGAAGGCTGCCAAGTGCATTGGAGCAATGAGCCTGTCATTAGATCTTTCGCGTGCATTTGACAGTGCGAGCCGACCGGAGGTGTATCAAACCATGCTCCATCATGGGGTTCCAAAGGAGGTAGTTAATGCCGTACAGCAGCTTCACCTGCATGCTCTTTACAAATATCAGGTTGGACAAAACAGCCATGGAGCCACAAGCACCACCAATGGCGTGAAGCAAGGATGTAAAATCGCACCATACCTTTGGTGCTTCCTAACCTTGCGGTTCATGGAGCTTCTCATGCAGTCACGGAGTGAGCAATGGCTAGTTCACATCATGACGATCTTCGCGGATGATGTGTGGTCCAATTGGATAATCCGTAGCCTTGCTGATTTCAGACAAGCGAAAGCTGATCTTGAACTCATTCTAACTGTCCTTGAGTCTCTTCACCTCACTGTCAATTATAAAAAGACGGCCATCCTGCTTATTCTTGAAGGCAAAGAGGCTGTGAAAATCCTTCGGGACCATACCACCACCAAGGCCGGTCAGCACCTTCTTCGGCTCACTGTGCCAGGCCGCGACTGCACTCTTCCGATAAAGGCACAACATGAATACTTGGGGTCGATAGTCTCCTGTAAGGGTCGTCCAAACTTGAATGCTGACCACCGTGTGAAGGCCGGCAACGGCCGATATCAAGCTCTTCGTCGAACCCTTAATGGGCATCATGTACTTACGGCTCATAACAGGATTCGCCTTTGGACAGCATTGTGCAGACCAGTGCTCATTATTCACTGACTGCGGTCGGAGTGACACGCAAAGGTCTTGACAAGCTGACGAAAGCCCCGACCAAGCAGCTGCGGGCCGCTCTCAGGCAGCCAGCGCACATAAGCCACTCAACCACAGCCCAGATTTGGCAACAGGCGGGTCACCCACTTCCTGCTCAACAGCTCGTTCAGAGCCTGGAACAGTATGTCCTTAAACAAAGAACCCGGGCCACTACTGCACCTCATATCACCACAATGCCCCAGGTCCTGCAGTATGCTGAAGAACAGCTCCGCCAGCTGCAGCTCCTCGCCTCTGCTTCTCTGCGAGAGGAGCGCACAGCTGATGATGCACCCGTGCAGACCGTAGCCTGTCCTGAGTGCGGCGAGCAATTTTCTAGTCTTAATGGCATGCGCATACATAGTCAGCTTGCTCACGGCAGGCTGCCGGCACACCCAAAGTGCCCCACTACCTTTGATGCAGTGGCTCACTCAGTGGGAGGCCTCTGCCGTCTCTGCCACCGCCGCTTCTTCAGGTATCAGCAACTGGTTAAGCACATCAACACAGAAGCATGCGAGGCTCTTGGAGGTGAAAGCTTCATTCGCAAACCTGTTGAATTGGATGAGCCTCAGGCAGCGAGTGAGATGCCACCGGCAACCTCTTCCGATAGCCGTACTCTACCAGTGGAAAACATACCTGAGGATCAGTTTTCGGAGTGTGCACAGCTGGGCCTCCTGGCCCTTGCAGCCGGGTGCCCGCAAGGATCTTCTTGAGCGCTGTGTCTTGTGCTACATGTGGCTTGCCAGCTCAAAGCACGTAAAGCAGCACATGAATACTGTTCAATCTCAAGAGCTAGGGGACATTCCTGAAAGGGCTCTTGTGCTCTGCAAGACATTCAAGTCCCAGCTAACTCGAGGACGAGCATGCATGTACTGCAAATCCACCGTAGGAGCTCCGGGCAGGCATTCTACCCAGTGCACCGCTCTATACCAGGCCTCCACGGCAGCCCTTCTCGTACAGGATCAGCTCCAACTACGGGGGAGAACGCAGAGGCCGACATCTTCCGTTACTGTTTTCCCAGCGGAGCTCCTCCTACGAGCACCCCGACAACAGCGACGCCATCAGATGCGGCGACACCGGCACCGTCACCGGTACCGCCTCAGGCCCCATCGAGATCCAAGCGACAGAGGCCGGACCACCATCAGCGCCCACATCATCCTCGGGGACACACCTTCGCGACCTACCAGCCGATGTACTCGAACCCTCAGGAGCAGAAGATGATGGCCATAACCAAGCTGCTGCTTCAGCACGAAGATCGCATCAATTGCCTCAGCCTGGATCGCGGCCTGGTGATGTTTCTGAAGGAGGACACCCACAGTGTTCTCCCGGCGATGATGCGAGCAGCCAAAGAGTGGAACGCTCGCAAAGATCAAGGAGACGATCGCCTAGTCTCGCCTCTCCGGACTGTGCTCCTGGCGAACCTCATCAAGGAGTTACAGCAGCGACTGCAGCATGTAGTGGCCACTCAAGAGGGGAGGGAGTCTTTGCGGAAAGCCAAATGGCTGGCAGAGAATGGGGACTGGTACTACATGAAGTGGTGCAGGAAAACCAAGACTCTCATCCCCAAAGAGGACAAAACACCTCTGCAGCACACCGAGGCTGTCAGAGTGCTGAGCTTTCTCTACGAGAACTTGAAGTACGACATCATTCAAAACTTCAAAAGCACTCAGAAGCTTCAACACCGGGAGGATCAGAATCGCACATCAGCCACATTTCTGGTGGACATCTCCCTGAGGGGCTCTCTGGCTCAGGAGGTCTACGAGCACTTCGAGAACTGATCAGCTGCTCCCTCACCGGACTCATTGGCATGAGTCTCAAGAAGGAGAGCATGGTTCGGAAGCCGGCGGCCACGCAGCTGGCCCAGCTCATGTTCGGCAGCTAACCCCAGCTGCCAACTTGGATGAACTACGAGAGGTGAATGCTACAACGTCTGGCTCTCAGTCCGAGGCGTCCCGACCCCTCAGTGTGCATCGGTTTGATCTGCCATCCTTCCGATTGCATAATCCGCATAACCTCTGCCCTCTGCTATCTGAAGGCTGTTGTCTACAGTCTGTGGGCAGCGGCTGTGCACACGTGCAACATGTTCAACATGTTCATCCTGCCACAGGTGCTTAGGGGACTTGTTGACGGGAATGACCCCATACACATTCGCCGTCACCTGGGTTTTCAGCTTCTTGGCTGGCGTCGGCCTGAGCAACAGCATGATGCCGCTGAATTGATAAACCACCTGCATCCGAAGCTGGCCGCTTCTGTGGTCAAAGGAGTTGTGGAGCTCAGCTATGCCACGGATACAGGCATTGGCAAAACTGTTGATGCCCCGCTAACACACTGTGTCATCCTTGTTGAGCCTCCTGTCCACCATCCTGACATACAGACGCTCATCAATTTTTGGCACAGTCAGGATACCATGTGTGCACTCACATCAACAGCTCCGTGGATCTGCATGCAGATCCCTAGATTTGCATGGTCGAGCGGCCAAGCCGTCAAAACTGTTCAAGCCTATCACCTGACTTCTCACCTGCAGGTTCCTGTGTATGCCAGCTCCACGGGGTATGATGTTGAGTGGGTGCCTTATCGAGCCATAGCCTATATCCAACATCATGGCATGGCGCCTTGCTCAAGCCACTACACCACGATCCTTGCTTCAGGGGAAGATAGCTGGACAGTTCTAGATGACGAAAAAGAACCGTATCCGCTCGCAGCCGCATTGCAAGACTCCGCAAATCAGAACATTTACATCGTTGCGCTTGTTAACTTGCGAAGCTTCAGCTCAAATCACACAGCGCGTGTGCCAGAGCACCGACATGAAACCGGCCTACCCGCTGTCAGCCTCGCAAACCGACATCGTGTGGCTCAGCGGACAGATGCGCCTTCTGGAATCAGAGATGCGAAAGGTCTCGACAGATCTGCTCACGCTTCTTCGGCTTTACAACACCATGGAGCAGAGAGTTCGCCTGCTGGAGACAATCGTGGGCAACATTCGCTGCACAGTGCAGCGCGAGCAGATTCAGACCTCACTTACCACCACAGCTCTGATCCAGGTTGACTGGGAAGCCATGGATGACTGAACAGTCATCTATGCAAGTCACCTCGGTGTTTCTTTTAGCAATCGATGCCCAAAAGAGCCATGCTCCCTTGAGGGGCCGTCATCGCATGATGTGCGTGATGTAGGTGCCTGCTGGACGGAGAACCCTTTCCGCCGCGAGAGAAGAAAGAAGATGATAGTAATGGCCACGATGACGATGATGATGATGATGACGATGATGATGATGGTGATGCTGACGATGTTGGCGATGGCGGTGATGGTGGTGATGATGGTGATGATGCTGATGGTGGTGAGAAAGCTCCACGGCTCACAGGAAGAGAGCCCGGGGGATTGGTGTGGTTTCTCTCTTTTGTCCGGGGTGCCTTCTTCTTTCGCGGTTGTCTGTTGTTTTGGCGAAACACCCCCTATGAATGATGGCCGACACAGCTCGGGAGACAGCGAGAACGAAGGGATGGAGAGCACCCTTCGCGACTTCCATCGCGACGGCCCTGCTCCTCCTGGTCGTGGCTACAAGCCAGCTGGACCGCCTAGACCGATTCCGGTGGCCGGCCCGATGCCTGACTACATACAGCCAGACAGGAACGATGACAGTGCTGCTGAGGAGGCTTCCAGAAAGAGAGGCATTGATGGAAGCCCGCGACGCTCTTCACGGGCCACTGAGGCAACAGGGCGCACAGAGCATGCTGCACCAGCCTCACCGCCATCGCCGCCCTCTCCGGACTCCTCAGATGACACGTCGCTTGTGCTGGAAGGGACATCGCTGGAATCTGCATGCGACCATCTGTGCACACTCTACCGACAGCACCTCCTATCTACTGAGCCGGCCCTCGGCACACGCTCACTGGCAGGCAAGGTGGGAGCGCTGCGGAAAAGACTCCGAACCTTGGAACCAGGTACAGGGACTTGCCACTCAGAGACCGGCAGGAGAAAATCTGCGAGAGTGGACCACCTACGAATTCCAAGCCACGCACCAGTACCACAGAGCAGATCCCGCTGAACCAGCAGAGTGAGTGGAGGCACGGAGTTCGAAAAACATGGGGACGCCCACGTAGTCTGCGCAGTCGTGTTTTCCAACTGCTGCCACTCCTGCATCCGCACCAGCAAGCAGCCCTCACTGCCGATCGGACTAAGCGAGCAGCCCAGCGAAGGCGTGCAGCAGGGCGGTGGCAATGGCACTCGCTCGGCCAGCCTGCCGCTCCGACGGGGAATCCGTCAGGACAGCGGACCATGGCAAGCACGAATCGCCCACAAGCTCACCCTCCTCACTGCCCTAAGAAAACCCACTCTAAGAAGCACCCCCACAATAAGCCAATATGCCGCTCCGGTCCCAAGCCCGGAGACCGTAGATTTATCCCAAGCCTCTAAAAAATAGTGCTTTTACATGCTACGGTTGGAGCGAGGGTTTCCTCTGGAGTCGTGATCCTATATCGGGGAAGCGAAGCGACACCGCGCAACCAGGCAGGGGAACCTCCTTAATTGGGCATAACAGCCTCGCCATGCAAGCCGAAAGAGCATATAAGAGAGCCTGTCGCCGAGCCATGTCCTCCCCGCAGGAAGGGACAATGTACAGAGGTCGATGGCACAGCAAGCAGGCACCCGTGCATCTGCAGCAAACCCCCAAAGCACCCAACAGCCCTCCGAAGGCAAGTGGCAGTCGAAGGCATGCTCCTACCAGGCCGGCTCCGAACGGACAAGTTCGCGGGCATCATGATCATGGTGTCTCGCAAGGCGTTCCGCAACATAGCCACGCAGGAACATGTTCCAGGTAGGCTCTTGCAGATTCGGGCGTACAACACCAAGAGCCAGCATACCGTTGACATACTGGGCCTCTACCAGCATGTGCATCGCACCACTTTGAGTGCCAGCCAGAACCGCCGACTCCGCCAGGGCGTCTGGCATGCATTGCGGCAAACCCTTGATTCCATCCCGGCAAGAAATAAAGTCATCTTAGCTGGTGATTTTAACTCGACCTTGCATCAGGCCCCTCCGGGTATAGGCCGCTCGGTCCCTAAACCTGACACCCATGACAACTTCGACGCCACTTTGCAACAATTGCTCCTGGACTATGAGTTGTGCGCACTCAATACATGGCGCTCGCGCCCACATCACACATTATTCAACACCTCCACCCGAAGTCAGCCAGACTATCTCTTTGTGAAATGCACAGACGCCGGTGCAACAGCAAAGCTCTCGGCCCCACTGACAGCCTTCCCTGTGACCGGAGACCGGTTATCCAACCACATCCCGGTTCAGGCCACGCTGCAGCTTCGGCCTTTCCGGCACCAGCCGAAAGACCAAAAGACGCAGCCGGCTTTCGACAAAGCAGCCTTACAACAAGCCATCGAATCTGGTGATCCGCAGGCGAACCTGCTGCAACAGGCGGTGTCCGCCCGTGTCAGTGCGCTACCGGCGCCTGCCTCAATCAACTCACTGCACCAAGAGATCAATACCATCTTGCTGCAGGAGACCAGCAGGCTCTTCCCTCCGCAGGATCGTGTGGACCGCCGGGTCAGTGCCGACCTCGGCTTTAGGGCAAGTGCTGCTCGAACATGGTCCCTATACAGGGAAGTCAAACGGTCAGGTGTTGTCACCTTGGCCAACATCTGGCAGAGGTGGCGGGCCATCACACGCTTTCGCAAAGCCTCTAAAGAGGTAAAACAACAAAGTCGGCAGCTGAAGGTGGCCTTTCACCAGAATCAGCTCCGGCAGGCTGAAGAGGCAGCTGCATCCGGCAATCTTAGGGAGCTTTTTCAGATCACTCGTCGGCTTGGGCCCAAAAAGGCTCGTGTGGCCTCACGCCTCAAAGATGAGAATGGCAACATCATGACCGAGCAGGCTGAACTAGCCACAGGGCTGAAGTATGGTAAAGAAACCTTCGCCTCACTCCCAGACAGTAGGCAGCAGCTTCCCCTCTTAGAGGACCTCACCCTCAGCATGGACGAGATCTGGTACGAGCTCTCCCACTTGAAGCCCCAAAAGGGCGAAGGCCACACATGCAACATGATGTAGTTGAGCTTGCCGATTTCCTTCTCCCCAGATTAATGCCGGAAGCCTCGAATCACCGCTGGGAATCCCGTCAACTTCTGGAAGGAGAGCTTCGCCGGTTGGAAACAGGCACCTTTGGCTCCTGCCTGTCACTCAGCTGCGTTGAACCCAAGGGGCCTAACATACAGGACCTGCCTCAGGAATGGCACATGCACCAATCAGCTAAACATGCCATGCTCACTCTGCCACCTTGACTATTTGTGCAGCTCCCAAGAGCCCGGATGCAAGAGGGTCGACCGTGCAAGCGACATGAGGTCTACATTATCCCGGCCGAGTTGCTCCTACCATGTTTTGAGCTCTCATCACACACCATGGAGAGCACCTTGCAACAGGTCACTATCGAACTTTGATCCGTGAGGGGGAAACCTACTGGATTCAAGACGATGCCCGCAGGGCGACAAAAGCCTCAGAAGCCCAGTTGAAGGAAGCTTCATCCTGCGTGCTCTTGATCCGAACATCAGCTGCAGATGCCGCCTCAGATACTCCTAGCTCAAGCTCAGTAGCACTCCGACGTAACCCCGATGACGAGTCCACAATCCACCAGCCGGAATGTGAACTGGTGGCTCGAACATCGTCTCTTTGCCCTACAACTGCAATTGATGACTCAGGAAGCTCAGATCGAACTGCTGAAGACCAGATTGGCAGAGATGAGATAGTAATGAGCACGGCCTGGCAGGTGCAGCGAGC